TGGGTGGGTGGGTGGGTGGATGGATGGATGGATGGATGGATGGATGGATGGAAGAATCTTGCAGCATGGTGCCCAGAGATATCCTTTGAGTCTTCAGATGACAAAGCAGGTCCCAAGGCAAGACCTCACCTCACTCTGAGGGCTCCCATGTCTCCTTCCTCCCTCATATCTTCAACCTGGCCCCTAGTGACCTCACCTCTGTGCTAAGAGTCCCTCCTGCTGTTTCTCCCGGGAAGGTGAGGAAAGCCCTGGGGTAAGTAGACTGCATCTGCCCGCAGCACCCCCAAACAACAGACTTGGCCCCCAACAAAACCATACCACGGCTCGGAGGCAGAGGAAACATGGAGGGTGTTGTGTGACACAGCAGTTCCTTCTGGGCTTGTCAGGTGCCTTCACACTGCCCCAGGTCGTGGTCAGCTGAGGAGGACCAGAAGCAGAGTCACGAGTCCAAACCTGCTGTCCACGGCGAGAGCGGCTTCTGGGAAGGACACATCCAGAAGCCCAGAAGCAGCACAGACGAGATGGGACTTCCTGTCGGCTGCTCTCCAGACAGTCTGGCCCAGCTGCTGCATAGCCTGGCTCCCAGGGGAACTTCATCCCCGCCTCTGAGGCCCGGGGTCACCGTCTCGGGATCCAGCAGCAGGAGAACGGTCACTGCTGTCTGGAGTGAGAGCAGCAGCGAGGGGACGCTGACGGGCCCCCAGAAGCTGGCAGCCCGCGCTTGGTGGCCTCGGTCATGACTGTGGAGTCCCAAGGTCAGAGCGAGGAGGAGGAGGTCACTCACTGGTTAGACTTGCTTTGCAACATGCGTTGTTAACCTGTTCCCATTTGGCCCATGTGAAATCAAGGGCCGCCGGAGCCCAGGATGGTCAAGCACGCCCTGTGCTTCCCGAGCAGCTCCTGACCGCAGAGGGAGGCATCCAGAGAAGGTGCTTCGCTGCTCTGCTCGGAGGTCCCCAAGCTCACAGCAGGCTGCGCTCGACCACGCGCTGTCTGGGGTCTGTGCCTGTCTGGACGGGGGAGGGAAGTTGGGAGAAAAAACTCACAGACTGGAAATCCTTTCCCTCTCATATGAAATTATTTCTGCTTCCCCTGTGAGTGCGGAAAAGTTGGGGCCTGCACCCCCCAAAATATAAAGAACAACAATTGCGGAATTACTGCGTGCCGCTGGATTTGAGCCCCACATGCAAATAGGGTACCTGGCCACCAGGTGGCAGTAGTGACTGGGTTCTTGCACCAATGTTGCCCTGGGGAGGAAACTGAGGTGGAGCCCTGGTACAGGACTCGCTGGGCGTTTTGTAGTCAGCTTGGCCGACGGTTCAGTGCCTCCCACGGTCCTCCAGGCCCAAAGCTATCATCCAGGGGGTTCCCAGTTGCTGGAGGGTGGAAGCATTCTCTCTCCCACTGCGTCTGCAGGGCTTGAGCGCCCGCCGTGTGCACAGGGACGGTGGCCAGGCCCTGGGCACTCACTCGGATGTACCCTGTGCCACCCGCCCAGGTCCACCCAGCCGGCAGCCCTGGGCGAGCCTGGCCCACCGTGCACGGGCGGCGCCCAGGAAGAGCGGCGGGAGTTCAAAGCCCAGGTGACATTTGAGTCGTGCTTTGAAGGCGCGTGTGACTCACAGTTGCCTGCCAGGGAGGAAGGCGAGGGGATCCAGGCAGGGGAACTCGCCGGCCACCCCGGCCCGTGTGGCCTGTCACGGAAGTGGCTGAGGTCGCCGCCGATGCGCGTGGGAGTGCAGTTCACGGGATGCGGTGGAGGCTGCTGGGACCAGGGCTCATCCGTGCGAGATGACAGCACCCACGGGTGACCAGGGAGGGGCTGTGGGACAGAGGGGTCCTGCGGCCACAGGAGAGCCGGCGTCGAAGCTCTCCCTGCCCTCGGCGTCCCCATCCCCTCTTCTCTAGGTTGCTCAGGCTGGGCGCGAATGTTCGATGTTCCTGCCTCAGCCTCCCAGAGTGCTGGGATGACAGGCGTGCGCCACCACGCCCGGCTGGCAGCCATGCGTGGGTTAGACGGGAACACGAGGAGCAGCGGCGGCAGAGGAGACCGTCAGACAGGAGACCCAAGGCAGGGCCGGGACCCTGCCGACGGTGGGTAACACCGCAGAGCTAAGTGCTGGCTCCCTGCGCCTTGGAGCGAGGGCTCGGAGAGGGGAGCGGGCGGGGCCCGGAGAGGAGGCTGGCAGGACACTGGGAACGGGGCAACAAAGGCGACAGCGAGGCCGCCGCAGTCCAGTGCTGGACGCAGGGGCCGGCACCACGCAGACCGGGACAGAGCGACCCCTCCCGGCTGCACAGCGCGCAGCGACCACAGCAGCGTGGTCCCGCCTCACCCTGGCTCCCAGCCCAGACCCGCGCCTGTCACACCCGACGTGTGAGGTCCGTGCGCCTGGCGCTCGCTCTCCTCCTGGCCATCCTGCTCTTGCTTTCTGTGACTATCAGCACGCATTAGGACAAAGCTGCCCCGCCCT